GGACACCACCAGTGACAGACCTGGGAGACAAATGAATAGAAATGTTGTATCGCCAGCGGAAAAGGGCGACACCACCGGCCAGCGGAAAAGGGCGGACAGCGCCAGTGACAGACTGGGAGACAAATGAATAGAAATGCTACATGGCCAACGAAAAAGGGCGGACACAAAGGGCGGACACACCTTAAGAAAGAATTGAGAACCCCTGACAGTAAACTGTTTGGGGAAAAACAAAAAACGTCAAGTCCTCGAAGATTTCAGTGGTCATCCTATCGACAGAGAGAGACCCACAAAACTGAAAGGGTGGCTTTGGAAGCTCTTTCTCCTCTGTATGTGGGCGTGGCCGGGCGGCCGAAAAAAAGACTCTTTGGGAGTGTCCAAAATTCAGGTTGCTGGTCGTGGTGGGTAACAAGGATGGGTCATGATGGGTCTCCCTATGCTTTTGAGCGACCACTTTTTTGAGCAGAAGGCACCTTGAGCAAGGTGCTTTCGAATTGGTGGTGAAGGGTGGGGTTGGTGCCTGGCTTCTGAGAGTGCAAAATGCTCAAGCCCGACCTATTCTTCGGAATTACAGTAAACAAGAACAAGCCTTAGAAATCGACATGTCAGGCTGCTGTGTGGTGTAGTGCACTTCCAGTCCACACCAGGTACGTGAAAGGCTGCCAGCTTGGTAGTCCACAATCAGCACAGTCAGGTCCACCGTCTTCAAGGTTTGGATGAAGGGGCAGTCCATGAGTTTGTTGCCAAAGTTCTCGCCGAACCTCCACCGGGCGAGTTCGGGTTGGTCGTCTGGTGAGTTTGGTGCGATGCCTGGAGACCTCCAAACTGTCGGTCTTTAAAGGCTCGGCTCTGCGCACTCAACAAAAAACAAAAGCCCCAAAAGCCCATCGGGTTTCTTCCATCCCCTCGCCCAGGCGCTGACAAATTGCAAAGGTACAAACCCAAATCGGAGTGTAAATGCTCAAGGACTGATCCAAGGTCATCTTGTCCACGGCTTGCCTTACTCGCGATCCACGACTTCGTCCCGCCAGTCACGCGGTCCACAAATCGGGTGTAGGTCCAGGATCCGACGGGGGGGACCCCGTGGCAAAGCTGAAGGCTAGGCTAGTGGCCAGTGAGAACCATGATTTTCGACTTGTTGGCTGAGAGGAGAACCGGTTGAAAGTTTAAACCTCGAGCGTGACCTTCCCTTTGCCGTCTGGTTCCACTTCCTTTCAGAGCCTGGGACGCCCCTCCGAAAGAAACATCCAGCAACACAAGAAAACCTGCAAGTGCTACGGGAGCCAGACAAAGCCAGACTTCACAAAGCTCTCAAACCAGCGATGAGCCAAACAAACATGGCACCATCCATCCAACCTTCCCCAGTTCCAGGCGGCATGAAGTCTGAAAAGCGCCCGCCCCACCAGTGGCTGAACATAATCTTGGCCGGCTGCGGCTCATCTGCTACAAACTCCACCCAACTATACCACCTCACAGGTGATCGAGTGATCGAATTCATTCGCATCTGAGGGTAGAAGCTGCCGGAGCTTCAGTTCCTTAGCCTGTGACGCTAGAGACCCACGATGTGGGCTGCAGATCATTGCTAGATGTGTGGAAAGACTGACAAGGATACAGTAGGTTGGAGGCCATCGCTCTTAGGTTGGAGGCCATGTTTGAGGCCATCGCTTCTAGGGCGTCGGTACCTCCTGAAGCCCCACGGACCCCGCCTGCGGGTCTCGTCGATGTGCTCCCCTTTGGGGTCCACATGGGGTATCACCTTCGTGATGACCTCGCTGGTGATGTCGTACCTCGCCACGTCAGACCGCCCAGGCCGCCCCCCCTGATGGGGTTGGATCAAGCTGGCTCAAGAGTCAAAAAATACACACCGAAGGACTTTGGCATCTGACATCATCTATGTTGAAATGAATCTTGAAACCTTTCCTCGCACGTCGAGGCGCATGTTTAGATTCATCCATGGGATCAGGTGTCCCTGCGTGCCATTCGTCTTTGACCTGAGCACGGAGTGAGAATCAAGCAGCTCTACAAGCTGCTCCACGCAACTGATGTGAACTGGTTTTCACCGGTTTCGCGCCGCTTTCGGTGAAAAAATGGTTCACTCAATCCATCGTGAAACTCGGTCAAATTAATCCAGGTGAACCCATGGCTAGGCCTCCCCTCCACCGCTCCTCCCCGCTCGGTCCAATCCACCGCTCGGTGGTGTGCTTGAGGAGTTCCGTCTTCGTCAAGTGCTGCAGAAAGGTTCGCAAGCTCCGCAACTGCGACACGGTCATCGCACGCTCCTCCACCTCGGATCCAGAGGTAGACCTACTTCTGCGTCCCGCCGTGGTGGCGAGGGGAGCAGAAGTTGGAGATTCTTCGGAAGCAACCGTTGAGATGTACTCGGTCACAACCCCCAATCCTTTGGACTGCAGGGGGTGGGAAAACAAGCGTTGCTGTCACTCTCTGTGTCATGGTGCTTTTTGTCGGCTCTTTTTTCAAGCTCTGGCAAGCCCTTCACAACCACTGCGGTTGCACAAACCTGTCCATTAGGCGAGTCAATGTTTCCAGGATGTGGATAGGTGCACATATACTGTGGGAAACGCTCTTGTCTTCGACATGTCCAATGCCAAACGGTGGCGGTGGTGTATCGGCATGGGGATGAAAGCCATCTCGACACCTAACCAGCCACTACTGGGCCCATCCTTCCAACACGTTTTCTTTTTGTCCACGCCCGGCCGAATTGAACCAACCACAACATCTGCCGGGCCTCTCCAAAAGAAGTGAACGGGCCAGAAAAGCTACAAAGCAGATCATATACATATATAACTATATATATATATATGTGAGTGTGTATATGATATATTATGCACTTTTCTCAATAGCCAAAGGGGCTGCAGTGCACTCACATATGCTCAGCGGTGTCTATGATGCTGTACATAGCTACTCTGATTTACCTTGAAAATGGTTCGCACTCCTTCTTGGCGATGTGAAACCCTAAAATGCCTCTTTGGGCTCACTTTGCCACGTTTAATCTGATTCCTCTCACTCATTTTTTGTTTCTATTTCTCTTCTGGATCTACTCATTGTTTCCAGGAACTGGGTTCCTAGAGCATGTTGGCACTTCATGTGGTACATCTGGATGCACTGGACAATCCAACAATTCTCGGTAATTATCCGTGTCTCTTGCAACTACATCTGCCGCCTTTCTAAAAGCTGCTGTAATTTTGCTTCAAGTCGACCACAAATTGCCTTTGCCTGCGCTGCTTCATAGTCTTGCCTGACTGGTAGGTCTCTGTTTCCTGGCCTGAATCTTCTGTATAGTGGCCCTTCTGTTGGGTTTGCTCCATTCATAGCTGCTTGCAACATTACCTGATGTCCATAGAATAGTCCTGCTGTTCTCTACATTTCTTCTAGGCTCCTTCTGGCTAAGTAGTGTCCTGCATTCATCTCATATAACATGTCATACACACTGCTAGCTTGCGTGTTTGGTATCTATTTCTCTCTTGTGTTGAATATTGATTCTCTCTCCATCATCATCCATTTGATTGATATCTCCCTCCACGTTCCTGACGTCAGTCTCAGGTTCTGTAAACCTGAACTCTAGGTTGTCTGGTCTCCAATCAATGTGTTGCCAGTTGTCACAGTAGTGACTTTCTGTATGACCCCATAGTTCATCACTGTCCTTTTGGAGTTTCAATTCCAGAAGTTTGACAATTTTGTAGACCACAAAGATCACTACCGCAAGTCAAACGATGTTGATTGCAATAACCACCATGATCCAAAATTCGAGTTTCCAGTGGATTCCTTCATCTCCTCCAATCTCATGTCTTCCAATCCACACTGGATGTCGTCTCCTTCTTTGAAGATTGCATCTGTAACCGTTGGCTGCAAGCCCTCCAATGCTACCATTCTCACAATCTTTACAATCTTGTTGACCTTCCCTGCCAAATCCTTCTTTTCTTCAGATTCCCTTCTCTCATGTTCTCCTACTCTCACTTGGTCTTCACTGTGCCAGTAACCAATTAGGTTCATCAACTATCTAATTCTTTGTTCTCCCAGCGGTTTTGTGTTGACGTCTGCTATGTTGCTATCTGTTGACACTTGTACCATCTTGAAATCTTTCCTGTTCTCAAATCATAGCAACTTTCCATCTAAATGGTTCACCTTTCCAACTCCTCTCTTTGTCACAAGTTGGCGCGCACTTGATGAATCTGCGAAGACGTAATGGTCCACCTTTGTCCCAAGAGCAAGTTCCAGAACTGCTCTGATATTGATATAGATTCCATCTGATGCTGAGGAAACTATTGCGCGCAGTTCTGCTTCACGTGAAGACAAGCTAATGATCTTCTGCGTTCTGCTGCTGTTGAACAATGAAATGCGAGGAATCCTCCTGGCGTCGACTCTCTGTGGCTTTTGGCTCCACTCCAGTCTCAATCTGAAATGTCTCCAAGCACCAATAGCTTTCTCATTTCTTGACATAACCTTCTCCGGCCTGTAGAAATTCAAGCACTAGGCAATAGTCCATAGTCTTCTTCAAGTATCCTAAGAATTTCTTCAAGCGATAAAATGGCAAAGCTGTAGGATTTGACATTCTTCAATTCCTTCACTGTGAGCGCTACATCATACCTTTCTTGACATAGATAAATACCTGATCCAACAACGCCCCTGACAAGGCTAATCTTCTCTGGTTCACGCATGCCTGAGTTGTCTGCTGGTAGTTGTTGAGATTTGACCGGGCCAATCTGATCTTCATAGGCCTTCAACATCTGCTGGATGTAGTCGCCTGGTTGGATCCAAAATCCATCAACTTCAACTTCCAGTTTGTACTTTCTCCTCAGGAAATAGAAATCATCGCCAATCCTCTCAATTTTGCTTGTCTTGAATCTTTGGAAGAAAGACTTCATTGATGTACTTTGAATCTCCTACGAAAATCCAGTCATCCACATGGATCAAAATGATACTCTTCTCACTTCTTCCCAGACATGGACACTCGCGTAGTTGAGTTCCTCTGTGAGGTACTCTGTGAAAAAGTCAAACCATGCTTTTGCTCCAACTCTTTGTCCCGGTAGATTCCTCTTCACTAGGCATTCTTCTCCTCTCAAGATCACTTTCAATTGCTTTTTCGTCTGCAAAGAGAACTTTCTGCTCCTTACTTGGAGTCCCTTCTGCATTTGGCTTTCTTTCACTTCCATCTCTTTTCATTGCTTCAACAGGAATTTCCAGCGGGGCTGGAATCTCCTTAGTGACTCTTCCTTTTCTGAATCACTTCCTCCTTCCAGCGCCTTGGCCATAACTGCCCCTGCATCCTCATCTCTGAACTTCACCATTACATGTCCTCAATGATTGTCTGTCTGCGCTACTGGCAATGCTTCTGCTCTCCTCTTGGTGGCAATGATTCTGCCTCCAAAGCTGGTTTGGTACTCCCATGAAAATACATTGAAGCTTTTGTATATGGGTAAGTACAAATGTTGGTCTGTTCTTCTGGTGCGCTTGCTAAGCGCTACTTGCACTCCATCTGTGGGTACATAGGTATCTTGCCTTTCAACTTTTCTCAAGAACAAACACCAATGCCATGTTGCTTCTCCTTTGTGGAGACTTTTGATGTGACCATGAACTGGCTCACCATGCTCTGCTAGAAGTCCTTTGTAACTCTTCTAATAGACAAGCTCATAGGGAATTGCTCCTTTGACTGGCTGAAATCTGTTGAGTACCCAACTGGCATGTCTTGCTGCCCAAGTCCAAAGTGCATGATCTGACCCAATCTTGATACCGAGTCTTGACTGCGCACCTTCAATGAATGTTCCTGCAAGCTTTCTCACCCTGTCAACTGTGTGCTCTGACAGAAATGAATGATCTCCAAGCTTGGAGCTTACCAATCTGGTAGTGAGTCCTAGACTGCGTCGGGCATTGATCAGCACCTTGAGGATTTGTCTTGTTACGAGTCTTGTTGTGGGTTCATTGTCACTCCTGTAGGTAATTGCTGAATATCCCAACAAGTGAAATT